GCTCTGGACGCGGTGCCTCAGTGGCAGGCCTGCGGGGCGCTGGGCCATGTTTACCGCAGGCCACGGGCCCTCTACACTCCGCCTGTGACCTGGTCTCTAGGACGCGCCGGGCGCAGTCCAGCCCCAGCCTCCTCAACCCCGCCCAGAGCTTCTTCCTGTTGGGGGTCAGATCGCCCTGCCCCGTGCCTTCTCACCCCACACACAGCGTGAGGCTGCAGATGGTCACACGAGCTGTCTCCCAGTCGCCACGCCTGGGCAGAGGAGGGACCAGGGTCAGGGTGGGTGGGGTGGTGCCCTGGGCGGTACCCGGCAGGCTCAGGGATCCTGGTGGCCCAGCTAGGTGCACAGTCCCACCAGTCCCAGCCTCTGCAGAGGCGCCCCCACCTTGCTCCTGGCCACACTGATCGCTGCCATGCCCCTGACCATGACCTCAGGCCGTGCTCTGGTGGGTCAGGGGCATGGGGACGGGTCCCAGCCGGTGGCCGGGCCTCCTGCGTTCCCAGGCAGAGCGGTTCATTCCACGGTGCTCCGTGGTGCCCGAGTTATGGCAACTCTTCTGGATCGTGGGTTCCTTGGGGCCAGGGTGCCCAAGCAACTTTGCTTTGTTCTTGAGTTTGGGGATGACTTGTGGCTAGCAGGTGCTGGCTGGTTTAAAAAATTTTTTTTTACTAGTACATGTTTGCAGCACACAGCGATGATGTTCCTCATCCATTTTCCCCTAAATGATTTATGTTTATCCTTCTTTATGGCAGAGTAGTACTCCATCACGTAGAAACACCACGTTTTCTTAATCTGTACATCTGTTGATGGGCAGGCTGCTTCCAAGGTCTAGCTGTTGTGACTTGGGCTGCTGTAAACTCGAGTGTGCATGCCACGGATGACTGATTTGTGCTCAGGACTGCTGTGCTCTCCGCAGTGTCAGAGCATGGGGTTTGGAGGAAAGGCCATCAGTGAGACCTGCAGTGTGTTCTGGGCATGACCTGTAGGCTGGGGACAGTGCCACTTTCTGACTCATTTCTACAGGACCCGCTGCTGGGGAGGACAGCTCCTGTGGGAGAGAGCACCACAGGGCGGGGCGAGCCCTTGTCCACCTGCGCCCTCGCCCCCTGGGCTGGCAGCGCTGCAGGGAGGGCGTTGTGCTGACCCCGGGGGTCCTGAGCTGTCTCCCCGCCTTGCCCCCCTCCTTGCCCCTCTGTTTCTCTCCCTGCTTGGGTATAAGCACAGAGAGAAACGGGCCCCTTTCCTTGGAAGAGTTTTGCTTTTCGACCCCAGGTGGCCCGCAGGGAGACTCGCAGGCTGGGGCAAGGGGCTTCCCCTCATTTCTGCTGGGGCCTCCTGGACCTGCCCCTCCTGCACCCCAAGTCTCTGGCCTGTGGTGCCGCCTGGGGCCAGTCGGGTTCTCCTCTTAGAAACCTTCGGGCTGGGCCCTCACAGGGTTGCCGGCTGTCAGTCCCAGGCGGGATAGGAGCAGGGAAGGACATCATCTCAAACCCTTTCTTTGGCTCCAGCCACTTGTCAATAAAAAAGTAGATTTTGGTCAACCAAAGATGGATGACAGCTTTAGTTCGTTTCGGGTAGGGAGAGAAAGGGTCTGAGAGTAAAACACTGAAGCTTTTTCTTTGGCTGTGAAATCAGCCCTGGGGGCTTTTTAAAATACAGAAGTTTTGTTTAAATCCCCAAGGATACAAGAAAAAAGCCTGCTACAGCATTTCTATGAATTGAAGTTAAAACTGTGAGGTGGCTTCTGTGACATTTTTTTGGAAACTTGACACATGACACTGATTTTAATGTGGGCAGCATGAGTGGTCCCTCTTAGATGATTGTTAATAAGGAGGTTAATCGAGACAGTGATTCTCAATGAATATTCACTGAATATTTTTAGGTGCATTTTTCCTTGCACAACAACTGTTGGGTTTTTCAGTTTAGGGTTATGAAGAAATGATACTTTTTCTTCTTTGGGTACCAGGGATCGAACTTGGGACCTTACACTTGCGAAGCGGGCAGCAGAACCAGTGAGCTAAATCCCTGGCCCATAACTTTCTATACTGAGGAGTAAATAAGAAATTGCAATATAGGGAAAAAAACTTTTTTTTGGGGGGGCAGTCCTGCACTTTGACTAAACTATGTCCCCAGACTTCCCCCTCTTTTACTTTTTTTTTCGAGACGTGGTTTCAGCAAGTTGGTAAATGACCCAGGCTGGGCTTGACTTTTCTATCCCCGGCCTCGGCCTCCCGCCGTGCTGGGGTTACAGGTGTGCACCACCTTGCCCAATTCATCAATGCATTTTTTAAAAGATGGCTGGAAAACTGGCAGCACAAATGATGTGTGCCCCTTGCCAGACACTGTGGGCGGTGATGTCTGTGCCATAGTAGGGACATTGACCTTCACCTCACACCCGTCCGTGGGGGCCGAGGCGCTGGCCCAGCATGCTTTATAATGACTCTGGTCCTGGGAGACAAGACTGGAGAGTCCGTGAGTCTACGCACAGGAGCGTCTTCTGTTATCAGGAAAGGGGGAGCTGGGCGAGGTGAGGTGATTGTGTGTAATCCCAGCACTCTGGAGGCTGAAGCAGAAGGATCAAAAGTCCAAGGCAGCCCGAGCAGCTTAGCGCTTTAGCGAGATCATGACTCAAAATAGAAAATAAAGAAAGTCCGCAGATGTAGCTCAGCACAGAGGCCCTGGGTTCCGTCCTGGGGCGGGGAGGTACAGTAGAATCAGCCCAACAGGGAGTGGTGGCGATTCCGTGGCACTCTGGGCAAGGCTGGTCATTTGCCCTGCCCTGCTGCCCTAGCACCATTGGCTCCAGGGTTTGCTGGGAGCCGGAAGCCAGAGCCTCCTCTCCGCTCTGAGAGCGGGGATCCTGTGCTTGTCACTGACGTGGCAACCAGGGACTGCCCCACGTGAGCTTGGACGTGCAGCAGCGGGAGTCACAGGCGAGTCCGTGACCCCGGGGCTATGATGAGGAAAGGCCAGTGACAGGGCCAGCAGGGTAGGTGTCCCGCTCTCCTGTCGAGGCTGTTTGGATGCCTGATCCCCGAGCCATGCTTCTGCCTCTTGTTGGACGCAGTGTCCTCTCAGCTGCGTCGCACTCCATCGCATTAGTCTGCCAGTCGGCCTCCTGCCCACTTGTTTTATACAAGTTGAAGCTGGACACTGGCGGAGGGGTTGGCACAGTGGGTCCAAGACTGAGACAGTCAGGTGTCGCCTGGTTTCCATGCAGACTTCCCTGTGACGGTGGGGCAACTTGAATGAAAAGTCCAGTTCTGAGCGCTGGGGACCCAGGGTCCTGCATGTAGCCCTGCAGACTCTGCCAGGAGAGACGACAGGGTATAGAGCAGGAATTAAGAGTCGAAGGCCACAGCGTTTGGTGATGGCTCTGGTCCCTAGGGTGGAGGAGAGTCCATGTTCCTTTAGCCCATGTCTATGCGGTCGGTAGACACAGTGCCTGTGACATTCAAGGGACAGGGACGTGTGACAGTGTCGTAGGTAGGATGGGGACTAGAGGTACTTCTGCTACGCGGCGGTCACTGCACTTTGACCCGTGTTTTCCTGTTTGATGCTGTGTCTCCTCACATGCAGGAGAGGAAATGCTTGCCCAGGACCATGAGCTGCTGCACAAGAGCCTTCTCCATGCCAGCACCCTGCAATTGTAGGCAAGCAGAGGAGGAGGGAGGAGAGCCCAGAGAGAGAAGCAAGCCCCAGAAAACAGATACCAGGTGCCTGCCAGGGCCTCTGGGGAATTGCGAGTTCACCAGTGCCCTCCTGGACAGCGTCGTCTTCCGAGGAGGGTCTGTCCCTTCTGCGGACCACTCTGGCCCAGGACCCCATCTGCCCCGAGTTCATGGCGCCGCCATC